CTCACTTGGCCATTTGATCAGGAGTCTTTTCTCTCTCCTCGATTGGCGGCTATCAGGCTGGCTTATCCCACACTTTTCGTTTTTCTAGGTACCATAAAGTTTTTTACCTCTCCTACCCTTTCCCTCTTGTTGTGGTTCTTCACTTTGTCTCTATTTGAACCTCTGTCATCATGCTTGATTTTTCACTTATCCCTTAAAACTTACTTCCTTCTCCTATTAGCCTGCAGACATTGTCAGTCAGATTTATTTGCCATCAACGTTTTCATGTACACTATCATTCCACGTATATTCTCTTTTATCTGGATCATTCTTTCCTTCCCAAAACTTCAGTGGCTCAGGAGGATAATTTCTCCTTTTCATCAATTTCCCTTCCTTCCATTTCACACTTCTTATCCTTGGTCAGATGTGGATAGACTACTATGTCCTGTCCATGTTCTTCATTGTTATGTTGCCCACATGGCTTCCTTCCATGGTGCCCATTCTTACCTGTTCATTCCTTGACAGATATCCTTTGTTCATGACCTTTCTCCTTCCACTATGACCAATTGGATTCTTCCTTATCGTCTACTTCCCATAATTTGTTCCATGTGTCTTCTCATCAGATCAGGCATCTCATCTCCTTGGAGGAAGTTCTTCAATCAGGCATGTGGACTACCCCAAATATTTCCAATTCGGTGACGATGAACCCACTTTGAGACTAATAATGGCTGTAGATGGCTTGAATGGGTAATGAAGAAAAACTTTAATATAAGTTTAACATGTACCTGATGATGACAAAACCTTGTCGAAACGTTGTACATTTATGTTATGTTAAACTTGTGTTAAAGTTTTTCTTCATTACCCATTCAAGCCGTCTCCAGCCATTATTACCCCAAATATGTTCATATCTCACAATCTGCATCAAATCGCTGTGTCTTCATTTTCAGGTTATCGTCTTTTGCCTGTAGCCATTCTTCAGACTTTAGTGAGACTGTGATTAAGCAAGTCTTTTCTACATTTATATATCTTCTTTTTCAGGGGCTTTTCCCTTTTCTTTTGTTTTTACTGTCTGGATCCCACTCTGTGGCAAATGGTACCTGACCAGGTATGCATCTAATAGTCAAATCCACACCATCATGCCATGTTGACTGCTTATTTCTAACTTCCATGGCCATAACACGCTCACTGTTGAGATGCACACTTCCACAAGATCGCTTGTAGGTTTGTCCTCATGATATTTTTGCATCATTAATATGCCCATTCTGGACTGTACTCATCCATGAACTTCATAGGTAATTCAGAAGGGGATAGCTGGCCATCCCTGCTTTGTCTTTGATTGAATAAATCAGGTATAGTCTGCTTTTTAAAATAGGATTTTTGTGGTCCCCTGTTGCACTATCTCTAGTATCATTCCTCCAAACTCTCCACCTCATTTTCTCCCCCCAACCCTTTTCTTCCAGTAGAATATGGGAGTCCTTACCACTTTCCAGTTCCAGGAGGTGGAACATGGAGACATCTTCCTGAATGTGATAATGAGAGACTACATATAATGATAAAACCATTCAGCTGAGAGTAGGGCGGTGGTGTTCTGCTGGTGTAGATGATGAAATATACTCCTATCTGATGCTCCATCTCTGTACATGTTTATCCGAGGGGATGTGGTAGCTATGGAGTGAGCCATCAAAATTGCAGTTCACCCCTTCAATTGGGATCCTTCATCCTACCCTCACATGGATGTCAGTTCATAGTGGCTGAGTTTTGGTTTCAGAGCTGAACCAATCAACATAAGTTTTCACACATGTATTATACTCTTTTTCTTCCATCTGTGTTGTGGGTCACAATGGTGATACTTGCTGATTAATACTGTTCTTCCTCTTATGCTATCCTTGATGATTTTATTATAATGTGGATGTTATTACACTTGGGGCAGTTCCTGATGGATTGGTTTTAAGTTATATAGTTTACATTACAGAGACATCTTTCCTTTACCGATTGTCCAGATGTCGGATTCCTGGATTGGTCAAACAATTTATCATATTGCTATCATGTGTCCTGTTCATACATTGAAGGGGGAGATTCCCCTATGGTCTGTTGAACTTTACATGAAGATGGTATGATCCTCTTTCCTACTCCCACATGGATGTCAGTTCCTGGTGGCTGTGTTTTGGATTGTAGTTGACTTACCAATGGTATTATCCTCATCCTACTTCCGTGTGGATGTCAGTTCCTAGTGGCCTAGGTTTTGAATGCAATTGACTTGCCGTGTACAGTCTGTCATTCCCTAGCCACTCTACACCTAGGGGCACATCCTTTTATTTTCACCCACACAGCAGTACTCTATGGGATTGATATTTGTTATATAGTGGTTCGGATCCCTGTCCCACCATTGTTCTATCCTCCTTCCTTTTTTCCGCCGATGTCTGTGACACCTCATTCCACACTGGGCAGAGAGTATACCTGGAAAGAAGTGGTGTGGTCTCCTACGTATGATCTTCTACTGTAAGGATCTATTCTTTTAAGGTGTTCTTCAGATGCTTTTGAGGGATGCTGCTTTATTTTTCTCTAGCACAGGTGAGCCAACCTTGTTTTTTACTTGCAGCTACCCTTTTCTTTATATAAGAAATATAATCATATTGGATATTTAACAAATTTTCACATTTTATCAGTGTCTCCAAATAACTAAGCTGTCCAATTACAACAGATAATTCTTGTTGCATCCCTTCAAAACTTAATTTTTTAAATTTGTAACCACAATATCATTATTCCTGATCTCCATATGCAGCAAAACATCAAACCTAATAGAGCAATGATCACTTATGTCTGGATGTTCCCCAATTTCTATATTAGAAATTAACAATAAATCTAAAATAGGATTGTTTCAAGTAGGTTTCATGACAAATTGGTGTAGAAAACCTTCTTTAACAGTTTCCAAAAACATTTCTCCCTCATGGTGTGACTCTAGCAAATTTCCAATCTATACGCCTGAAATTAAAATCACCCATAATTATAACCTCATTAACAGCTGAAATCTTAATCTCATTGTAAAGTTTCTCACAAATTTTATCAGTATCATCTGGTCGTCTGTAACAAATTCCCACTGAAAACCTTTACATGTATATCTGCTGATAGAAATCCAAATGGATATCCTCAACTTCAACAGGATGTAACTCACATTTTACATATAAAGCCACTCTATCCCTATTGAATAACTTGTAATCCTGTATTTCAAAGAAATTTCTGTCATCAAAATCATGTGCATTTAACCATGTTTCAGTTATTCCCATTATATCAAAAGCCTCCATTCCTACCAGTGCCCTAGTCATATATTTCATTTCTTATATTTCTAGCATTACAGTAGTAACAATTAAGCCTGTCCTTAGAACTACTTCTATACTTATTTCCCATGCTAAATTTTTTCAACATCTTACTTTTTTTTTGCATTTAATTTATTCTGGCTCTCACTACTTTCTAGTCCTAGTTTAAATCTTCCCTTACAGCTGAGTTAATAGCCTTTGGAAACAAGCCAGACCCTACTCTATATAAATGTAAACTAAAGGCTCCCTTCTCCCAGTAAACTGATTCTACAAATCCAACCAGCCAATCTGCTCATCCTTACATATTAACCTAAACCTAGCATTCAGCCCTACTTATAATTTCATCCCCACAAATAAGTTATGGTCTTTTCTTTAAATGCCTTTGTCAACCTCTTGTACTTATTGATTAGCTCCTCTGACCTACCTTTTCCTACATCATTAGCCCCTATGTGCATCACAAAAACTGCATCATTGTTAGCCCCTTGTATTATATCTCTTGCTCTGTCAGTTATATGCTGCACCTGTGCATAATCTAATTTTTTCTCCCTCTTTCCCCACACACTATCCTATTCACATGTCTTACAATTATAATATATTTCCAGTAACTATAACCTCCTTAAGTTTATCATCATCCACATCCTTCTCTGACCCTTTTGTTTTCCTTCCCTCCAATAATTATCTGCACAAGCCAAGGGCTGAAATTTGTTGCTTAATAGAGTAGGCTCATTACAATTAAATCCACTACTTTTAGCCCTAATACTACTCTTTCTAACTTCCTGAAAGTCATTGTTAGCTGATGTATCCCTTGTATGTAAAAGCTTAAGCTACTCTTGAAATCCTGCTGCCAAAATAAACACATGCTTTTCTGGCCCATATGGGGAACAAACCCACTATTTATGTATTACTAGCACAACACTAACCAGCTGAGCAAACAGGTTAAAGTCACAAATTTTCAAGTTATGTGTATTGAAGAGTGAGCCAAGTTTACATATTTTATGACAAAAATAATTGAAATTTTATAATAGAGGAGATACTGTCAGGTAATGCTATTTTTCTCATGATTATCTAGTAAGCTGGAATATGTGGCAAAATAGGCTACACAAAACTTCTGTTTGTAAGTTTTAGTTTTCTGGATAAATGACATAAATACTGAATTCATCAAAATAAAATGTCCATGTATTATAATTAAGAAAGTATGAGAAAGTATACATATATTATTTCATTTTGCTCTCAGTTGTCTTTTAGCATCTGATTATTTGCAAAGCAGGTTATTTATCACTAAGAAAAAATATACCCAAGATAATTTATTTATGTTAGATTAACTTTTAATTAAATGCTAAGAACCTGTAAAAAGTAAGAATGAATATATTTGTTTCAGAACACCAAAGAGTCTAAATGCAAATGGATAAAACAAACTGCAGCAAATAAATCACTAAGACAAACATAAAAAAGGGGGGGGGGATAGCATCTTTGATGCCATAATTGTAAATCTTTATTAATTTTACATGCTGATAATTTACTTCCTCTATTTATTTCATATTCAGGTATATAGGTTTTGTTCTATCAACCAATTGTGGGTGTAAGCAAAAGATTTCTAGTTATTACTAATTAGAGAAAACAGATTATTCCTTTGTGTTTTAGAGGTTTGTATGTAAAATTTTTAATTAATGCTCATTACAGGATGATTTTATTATGTGTGTTTTGTAGGACCATGTGCCGAATATCTGGTGCAAAAATAACTCTAGACAGAGGTGGCGATGAGCGAGATCCAGATAATCAGAAACGTGTTACTATTAGAGGAACACGGGATCAAATAGATATTGCCATATCATTAATTGATGAGAAACTTGCTGAAGATGAAGCCTTCCGACAAAAAATCTCCTTGTCTTCTTCCTCAGCACAAACACTGCAGCACAGGGGCAGACCTCTAAGTATTGGAGCATCTTCGGATGAAGCTAATGTATGTTTTATTTATTATATATATATACATACACACACACACACACACACACACACAGAGGCATTACTAGGACTGGCACATGGTGCTTGTGCCCAGATTTTCCAGTTGGTCTTCAAAAGTTAGAATAGAAAACCATAATCACTATCATACTGAAACACAAAAAAAATGGGCCCAAGACCTGAATCTTTAAAGTATTTAGTGGTGCCTCTGTATATATATATATACAAAGTAACTTTCTTGTGCATGACAGTTGTTGCTTGTGAGGCATTCCTAGTTAAAAAACACAAGTCTTGAACATGATAATTTTATTTGTAATGCACCACATTGAAAGTAGCACAGGCACATTAGTCTGTACATGATAGTTACTACTTGCAGTGTTCACAAGCAACTTTTATATACATTATAATTTTACTAGGAATGTTTTAAATGGTATTTGGTCAATACATAATAGCTATATTATAGCACCTTTTTTTCTTATAGAGCTTCACAGACGGTTTAGTACATATATTGCACTTTCTACATATAGAGTTCCACAGGCATCTTACTCTTTACAGCTTTTGTGTGTAGTGTTCCACTTGTAATTTATTATGCACATAATAGTTTGTGCACATCCCACATAGTTTTGATAATGATGTTTTAATTTTTAGTGTTCTACAATCAACTTATTTTATTACTGTTCTTACTCCAGTTAATTTATTGTGGACATTATTTTTACATGTAATATAATAGTGTGTATAATCTACACAAAACAGTTTCATTAGCGGTCCCATAAGCAAATTATATTGTGTGCATAATAGTTTGTATATTAGTTTTTATTTGTAATGCACTACAAACACCTTTGGCTGAACATTGTTATTGTTACTTGCAGGAATCTATGAGCAACTTAATTTGCACATTATAGTTTTTACTTCTAATGCTCCACAGGCAAAGTATTTATACATAATTATTTTTATGTTTAATACTACACAAACAAATTAGTGTTTTTTTTACAATTTATTCTTAACAAGACTATTACTTTCAATATCGTACAAACAAATTGATTGAAATGATAATTTAAATTGCTTGCGAGTTATTAATGGTAAAGTATATGTGTCATGGTTTTTACTTTTAGTGTCTCAAACCTGTGACTTATTTTTACTTGTATGATCCTACAGTTTGCTTAATCTGTATATGATAGTCTGACTTCTAGTCATTTCTTGCAACACCCTCTATGTGAGTCTGATCTTGAAAGTTTTTACTTTTTAATGTCTGCAAGATATTTCCTGCAAACAAATTAGTGGGCATATATCAGTTTTTAGTTGTAGTGCCCTATAAGCAAGTTAAATCTGTACTCAACCTTTTACTTGTAACCTCATGTTATAATAAGTGTTCCACAGACAACTTGTAGAGATGTTTAAGCCATCTTTTACAACTGAATTTTTGACACACATCTAGATGTACCCAGTGGTTAGTATGTAGCACTATAAGAGTGATGTTCAGTCTGACAAGAGTTGGCATTGGGTGGTGTTGACTAGCTGCTTTCCATCTGGCCTATCACTTTAAAATTAGCGACTGCTAATGCAGATAGCCCTTGTGTAGCTTTGCACAAAACCTAACAAACATACTTCATTTTAACTGTTAGTAGATATTACAGTTCACTATTGAATGTCTGGCTCGATGAAAAACACAATGGATATTTCAGAGTACTCTCACCTTTTTCTTTTGTCAAAGTTGACACAGGGTTACTTTTTTCTTAACAGGTATCTTCACATCAAGAGCTACAACAAGAACTTTTAGTTCCTTCTGCTGCAGATGGCTACACTGAAGTTTTTGTTTCTGCTGTTGAAAATCCTGGTAGTTTCTGGGTACAGACAGTGGGAACTAAATCTGTCCAGTTGGATAAGATGGTGGAAGAGATGACGGAGTTTTATACACAACAGTGTAACCAGGAGCTAACCCGAGTGTCTCAGGTATCTGTTGGAGACATAGTGGCTGCACCTTTTGAACATGATCACTGCTGGTATCGTGGCATTATTGTTAATATCCACGAAGATGACTACAACCTAGATGAGAGTGAGATCACCATTCATTTTGTTGACTTTGGAGATTACTGCAAGCTGAAAAGGAAAGAGCTCTGTACTCTTTTACCAATCTACAAAGTATTGCCATTTCAAGCCATTGAGTGTCGACTTGCATGGTTGCAACCAAAAGGTAGTGTGTGGAATGATGAAGCCACAAACCTGTTTGAAAAACTGAGTCATGTGGCTCAGTGGAAAGTTCTTATGGCCAAACAAGTAAGCTCTCTCAAAAAACAGAGTGAACAGAGAGAAGTGACTGTATATGCTGTAGAGTTAATAGATACAAATGAACCTCAAGACATCAACATAGGATTAGAACTTGTACAAAAAGGTTATGCTATGGTTAATAAAAATAACAGATCTTAAGGTTGCAGAAACTAAGAATAAATAAAGTATTATGTGGCTTACTTTTGACTCTTCAAATGTACTGTAGTTGCTATTGTGCTTACAGACAAAACATGCAAAGTAACATCTGGCAAGTTAGGAGAAACTTATCATTTTGTTGTAAAATGAAGTAGATATTTTGTGCATGTTTGACAATTATTAAGGGAATTACCGAGATGTAGACAAGATTTTTTTTTCTATCATTACTTGATTCATTGAATGATTGAGGAAGCAAGTTTGAATTTTTTTTATTTGTATACTACTTTCTACAAGTTAAACTTGTTTAAGTTGCTAAGCTGCTAGTGTACAAGTAATGAAAATAAACGTTTCTGTAATAGCTGTTAAAGGAAAGTATAAAACTTGAAAACTGTTTACTACAAATCAAAGTTACTGTTCATAATAATAATAAAATAACACAGTAAACAGAAAGAACTGTCAGAAGTCTGATATCAGAGAAGCTAGTTTTAATACATTCATGCATCGTCTTCAGTCTTACGTTGTCTTCTGGCAAGAAAAAAACTGGTCAACAAATGCTTACATGACTGCTGATCATGGAATTCCCTTAGGGAGGCTTTTGATTAAGCAACTTTCAACAATTCTTGTTTTTATGTAGTTATAGGTGTTGTATAAAATTCTTCTTCATTTCCAATTGATTTGATGGCCAGAATCTCTCATATGAAGAAAAAAGGTATTGTTTTTTATTCCATACAGTGTCTTTTATATTCAGAAACTTGTGTCAAGACTTCCTCCGGTTTCACCTATATAATCTTTCTCACAGGATTGGTATTGTATAATATAAACACCTTGTTTTTTTATCTTCAAGTGTTTTTCTGTTTGAAGTTAGGTTATTTTTAATGGTGTTCAGATATTTGTATATCATTCTAAAGTTATTCTTCCTTAATATTTTCTCAAGGGGTTCAATGTTAGTGTTGTAGCCAGTATAAAGTGTTTTCACATTATCATTGGTTGATCTTTCTTTATCTTCATGAAACAAGGTTTTTCTTACTTTGAGATGGTAATTTGTAATGAAATGTTATCAAAATGAAGTTCTTTGAAAACAGAAAAGATATATTTAATTTCATGTTCAAGCATTGTCGGGTGGCATATTCTATATGCTCTAAGAAAAAATGAAGAAATAAAAGATGTACTGACCTGTTTATGGTGAACATAACTTAAAGAATTTGTCGGTTTACGGTATACCGATAGGAATGGTTCTGTTTTTTTATGGTTATCAAACATTCAAGATAGGAAGTTTGTCATCCTTTTCCCAATTCAACTTTAAATTTGATAGTTGGGTGAAGTTGATTAAGGTTGTTGAAAACATTTTCAAAATCACTTCTTTTGTGTGGCCACACAGAATATACATCCTCAACCTATCAGAACAACGGGATTTTTTAAAGGTTTATATTTATGTAAAGAACTAATTCAGTTTCAAAATAATCCATGTAAAGGATGCACAGCCTTGGATACAGTGGATTTCCCATGGCCATTCCATATTTTTGTCTAAAATACTGACAGGTAAATACATTGCTGTTTACACAGACTTAGATGAGAGAGAAAAAAGTGTCAATGAGAACAGGCAAAGATATGTTCAGTTCAGGTAATTTTCTTTTAAGAAATTCTATGATTTCTTCAACTGTTACATTGTTAAATAAAACTTCAATGTCAAAAGTTAACATTTTTTCCTTTACTTAGGTCAGTGTTTTTAATTTTGTTCATAAAATCTACACTGTTATGTATGTGTGATGATGAGATTTTTCCAACAATTGGGGATAGATATCATGCTGACCATCTAGATAATTGGTATGTGACAGTCTTCTTTAGGCAAACTGTACATGTAAGTTCAGGAAGGATTAATACATTTTAACTTCTTTAAAATATCTGGGTAACTTACAAGCATTTTACGTAGTTGTCTGTTAAAATCAGACATCTTCTTAGGTGAGGGACTGGAGCTTAATTTTTCATAACCATGCCCATTCATCTGACTTTGTGATTACAATATCATTGTTCAATTTCCTTATCTCTTCAGAAAGACAGTAAGTTATATAATGCAATTCGTTAGAAGGTTCATATCTTCACTGTTGTCCTTGGCTGACTTAACAATGTCTGATATTAAGTCTATATTCAGGTTCTCTTTCTTAAAGGAAAATGATAAGCCATAATCTAGGCCCTAGGGCTATTCATTCCAATTCGGTGAAGTTATAAGATGACAAAATTAAAACATTTTTATCGTGTTGTGAAACCTTACATCACAAACTATTCTTAAACAAATTTCATTTTGAGTCTTACTTTTTCAAGCTTGAGCTTGTTTGATACTACAGTGTGGACTATTGTGTGTAATTTTCTCCTTTGTATTGGAAAATTGTACATTCTTATTCTTATAGTATGTGTGGCAAGAATCTCTCATGAAGAAAAAACAAGGAATTTATATTCAAACTGGTGTATTTATGTGTTTTACACTCACAAAAAAGAAACCTATCATTCTATAGTTATTTGAAGAACTTGTAGCAATCTGCCACAGTTTAATTCTTTGTATTGTTAGCCAACAACTCTACTTATTCAATTATGTACAAGCTCCCCAGTGTTGGCTAACAATACGAATAATTAGATTGTGGCAGATTGCTACAAGTTCTTCAAATACCTATAGAATGATAAGTTTCTTTTTTGTGAATGTAAAACACGTAAATAGACCAGTTTGGTTTTTAATACCTCACTAGTATAAAGGCTTGGTTTGGTCTGATATTTCATTGGTGGTAGTGTCCAGGGTCACTGATGAGGAGTAGAAACTAGTCTGGCTCACAGACACACACACCAATGAAAGAATAGACCATTCCAAGCTTTTTCTTGATGTTAAACAAATGTTTAAACAACTCTACTTATTCAAAGGTATTTATATTATTCCATAGCAATCCTGTGAGAAGAAGTGTTGACATGAGTTTCTGAACATAATAAAAAAAAATATGAGATATTCTGGCCATGAAATAGATTGGAAATCAACAAGAATTTTATACAAAATGGATAACTACATAAAAAGAAGAATCATTGAATGTTTCTTTACCAAATTTCAACACCTCCCAAGGTAACTTTAAGCTAAACAACTTCCCGTGTCCTTAAGAGAATTCCACATTCAGCCATCATGTAGGCATTTGTTGATTAGTTTTTCTTGCTAGAAGACAACATGAGACTGAAGAGGATGTACCATATCGGACTTCTGACAGCTCATTCTGTTTACTGTGGTTTTTTTTTTCACTTACCATTCGTGTACAAGTACAAACTCCAAACTTATTTTCTGCTTTAGTATAAAACTAACACTACTTGCAGTAGTGTCATAATTACAGGTACATTCAAAATTTCTAATAGGGTTGAAGGAAGTAAAGCAGTAGTAAAATTAACTGATCAAATTAAATTTTATTTTGAAGACTTAATTAACTTTAGTAGTAGAATCTTCACAATTATAATAACTAGTTAACTACAATTACTGGGTAATGTTGCAACTACTGTTAATTTAAAACTACACTGATGTCCAGAATTAAAGCAACAAAAATAAAACTGGAAAATATATATTAACCAAATTTAGATCTTGAGGTATTTATTGTGTAATACATTCTTAAATATGTGCAACCTGACAATAGCTCTACTTGGAATTATATGAATTGAGATCTATATAAAACTAGGTAATTATAGGATACTCATTATTACATTTTTAACACCTTGTAAACATGACCAGTCTTAGACATTTAGAAGATACTTTAAGATAGAGAGCTATAGAAAGATTACAGGTTAGTCTGTTACAGACCAATGTGACTAAATGTACACAGAAATTAGTATTAGAAAGAAGAAACTGGGCCAGGACTTCTAGAAAACTAGCTACAGATCTATCCACAGTTACAAGGATGATGATATTGGCCTTCACACCATGCAGGAAGCTGCATTAAGAAGGGTTCTATGAGAGACAGCCCAAGGTAGGCATTACTTAGAGCATTACAAATAATGCCTTCAATATTCCTCTTGTGGTCAAGACGAATGAAGCCATGTTCTCTTTGCAGGTAAGTCCAGATTCATTTTGCAGTGTAACACACAGTGTGTACTGCTAACATAATTGAAAGGGATGCATATAGAAATAGTGGTTTAAATGGACATACTGATCACTATGTGGATGAGGGAGGGACATTTGAAAGCTCAAAATTACAAAAATGAGATATGTGATCCCCATGTACATCCATTTGCAGGAGCTATTAAAGAAAAATTTGTGTTAGTGGACAACAATATATATATCCACCCACACTGAGTGGCCAGTATGATCCCCTGACTGCAATCCCATTGAGTATGTTTGGAATACTTGGGAGGCATATTGCATTTAGTGTATGAGGATGATTGTTTTCTAGCACCAATTTAACATTCTAATTGCATAAATACATGAGTACTGTACAAAGATCCTTCTTGATTATGTTGCATACTGTTGCCTGGGGCACATAAATAGATTTTGATTCTCACTTATCATAAGATGGCACTCTCTGCACATCATGGTGAGGGTACATCCTACTGAAGACCTCTTTCTGGATGGTTCTGGTACCACAAGTTGATCCATATTCCATTCTTTTCTGGTGCTATTAGGTACAAGGGATAGTCCACTTTTACAAATTCAAATTCCACAATCTGAACACATCTTTGTGTGAATGTTTTGCATCAGAATGAACTATTATACACCCATTCCTAAAGCAGTCAATTTTCAGTGGTATACTACAGTACAAAGTGTAAAATAGTTTAATAATGCGGATCTTATACATTCTATTTCACCTTTATATCAGTTGTGGCTATCACATCACATGCTGATTTTAATATTCAGTCATTTTAGTATAACATACCCAACATAAGATTTTTTTGCACAAGTACAAATCAAAGATTTTCCCATAGTGTGTTCATGTTTTGCTGAAGGGTAATAAAAATTTAATCAATACACAATGGTGTGTGGAATTAGAAAATTTATTGATTTCCAACAATACCACACCCACTATCAAAACTTATCAATAAATGAAAAACAAAAAAAGGAGTTAAATAATTAACACACAGAATTTATTAGCTTCAGTGGTCCACCATGTTTAATTCAATTATACCAAAATATATCTTGGTAAACATTTTGTGACAATTCCCTAAGTAGAATTGTGTAATATTTTCAAATTTTCACTAAACTGATAAAAAATCACTCTTGCTCAACTGACACGTTGTTATTTGAGCCAAATGTAGAATTTGAACAATAATTACTCTACACATGGGGCTGTGAAAAATAAATATCACCCAAAATACTTTAAGTTTGCAAAATCTATGCAGCTTGTATTTCATAAGATCAAAAAAGCTAACTGTATTAAATTTAATTATCAAATACACATACTAGAGTAAGTAGCATACTACTGAATGCAAGCATAATGTATACAAAAGAGTCATCACTTACAGTGCCTTTTTAATTAATAAATACATACATATTGGTCAATTAAGGGGATGCTATTTTTTTCATTTTCAAAAGATCTTTCAAGTTTTACCACAGATGAGAGCTAAATTATTTAAAAAAGGTTAGATGGTAATAAAGAATGCAAAACTTTTCTTAGCAGAATAAATTATATCATAAAAACAAGCTGTTTACAGTATTTACGAATTCATTTGATTATTTAACTATATGTAGCACTTCTTTTGCATTGTACTTTGTTTCAGGGATTTCACTTTGTTCTTGCACTCAATAAACAGTTATAGGCAGTCAAAAAAATGTTGAATTTATACCATTACAGTTGAGCATATATAAAGATGGTGCAACAACACAATACTAGTCCTCAATGAAGAATACTCTTTAAAACAAAAAGCTACAGCTTTCAAAGAAACAGAAGGTCAGGTTTGTATGCTCCAAAACATAGTACTACTGATAAAACTTGCACAGTATGACCCATATTACACACAAAAGCTCTCAAGAATTTTATTTGATGTCATGGGAAAATCGTCCCCAAAACAAACTAAAGTCATGACAGCTGATGCAAAAAACTGCCATCTGGGGATATTTCGTTCCAATTTTATCAGTATCAGAAAAGTTTAAGTGTCGGGGATTTTTCATGCTCATTTCTTTTGATTTTTAAGTATGTATCCAAACAGCAAGAAATGTGTTACCACTTCAGTGAAAAATAATACTCTTTAAAACAAAAATAACTTAGAAGAAGCAGATGGCCTGATCTGTATGCTCCAAAACACAGTACTAATGACAAAATTCACATTTAAAACCCCCAAAAACAAAAATACAAAAGGCAAAACTATCATGAAAGTATACATATCACAAACAAAAATTAAAAAAAAATGTTGGGTTAATAATTTTCCCCAAAATAAACTGGGTCATGACAGTGCAAAGATATTCCACCTGAAATCATCTTAATTTCTTTTTTTTTTTTTTCACTCCAAGTTTATGAACATGAGAAAAGTTTTTAAATTTTAGTGCTCATTTCTCTATTGTCAACTCTATACATGATCAAATAGAAACAAGAAATATCACTTTGGTGCTTTAAAAAACCTTGATTGTGGGTATGATACTAGGATGGATTAATTACTTACTGCCCACATTGTTTAGTGAAGTTTAATTTGCTCAAATTGAACCTGTTCATTTCTGTTTTGAAAGACATCAGTTGAGTGTCACTAAGATGGATTAATCTCTACAACAACCCAGGTGTAGAGTTTCTTCAGTATCAAATCTAATCTTTTATACGTCAAACTGTTCAATCCATCAGTCTTGTAGCGAGTTCGGCCTTTGTAAAGTTTCTTATACCTGAAAAACAAAAGTTTGGAGTGTATACATGTGTATGTAGTTTTTACATAAAAGTGATAAGTCAATGGCATACTTTTATAACTATTTAAGGTGACAGAATTATAAAGGAAAATATAAATATATTTTTGCCATAAACTGTAATTCATATTTGAAAAAAATTAAAAGATAGTCTTTCAAATTAACATTTTATATTTTTCATTCAGTGATAATCATGTATGTTAATTTTTTATCACATATTGAAATCAAACATTTCTTTATAACAAGTACCAGAAACTGAAATCATCACTAGCTACATACAAAATCTACCAAACCACTGTAATTAAAGGATTTTAATTAAATTCTTATACCCAACTGGACATTAAAAATCCATCAACTGTATGATGGTCAGATGTGTATAGCTTATATTGCTAGAACAGTATCAAATACAGATTTTTTTTTATTATACTAAAAAACCAATCAACAAACAGTCATTCACTAAATTAGCATTTCACTAAGCACAAGAAAAAATAAACCAGCTAGAAAATAACTAATTTCTGGCAATCACTTTGAAAATGCATGTACGTGAAAGTTGAAAATATAAACAAAATTTAAGAGCAGCATAACATATCACTAACATTGAGAAGCTGTCCCGACAAGGAAATCTTGATTGATGCAAAAATAACATTATTCTCAAATAAAAGTGTGCACTACCTTTTTAATTTTTTCTACCACTGCATTATTCTAGCATGGTATTAATCTTTCTATTTTTTTAATGTAATTTTAAAATCACCCTTGGTTTCATATGACATACCTATTCTGAAGGTTCTCACTTGCACATTTTGCAAGTAACATAATTTTTATATAAAAAAACATTACTGCAACATTTTTCAAGGATAATCTGGACATTTCCCACTTGATAAAAGAATAGATAATAACAATTATGTACCAGACTAAATACCACCATGTGGTTGCCATTTTAAATATTTTTCAAAATATGCAGTAATCCCCAAGTGATCCTGTGTAAATTGATAATTAAAGAATGAAAACATTTCACTATCACCAATAAGGGTACTAATGTTTATATTTAAAACACCATGACTGCAATTAGAAATAATTAAGTAGCCAGTTAGCCAATTTTATTTACTTATCTTGTTTGAATAGTGAACATAAAATTAATATTCAATATTATACAAACACTGCAACTTAACAAAAACATAATATAGCTATTAAGAAAGTAAATACGCTGTAATTTTAAATGAAGAACTGAACATCAAGATTGCTTTAAGCCTTATGCAATCTGCAGTCAAGTGAATTCATAAACATTCCTGTCTAAAGAACTTTTGTAGCTTTCAAACAGATATATCTTAACACACAAATATTTTCACAAAAGAAACTGAAAAGCACATTTAAAGAAACTATAAAAAAATTAAACCTGTATATTTACTATTATGTGGTAGTCTAATTTTTGCTGTACCCAATCATATTTAAACCTTTTTTCTTTATCACTGTTTTCAATGCAGTGTTCAGTTATTAAATGAATAAACCACTTGATATGACACCATAGCAAAGTTTCAACCAAGACCAGTATAAAAATTAAGGGAAAAGCTTAAAAATAAAAAAAAATAATTTCAGATGGCAGAAAAATTCTTTAAAACAAATTGACAAATGGGTTGTTTTGTTCACAGGCAATAAAAATAAGAACTTTTTCATATTTCTCACTAAATAAATGAAAACATTTTTCAGCTAAAATTGTTGAAATATAGGCATAATTAACTTTTAAAATTTGTATCTCATAAAATTTTATCAAATGGCAAAAAAAATATTGAAAGCCAGAGGAAACCCTGTCTTCAGACAGAATAATTAGAATTAAGTGACTTTTGTAATCCTAAACTTTTTACATGAAAATGCATCACACATGGGATACAAGTGCATCATTTAACGTTTTGAAACAATAAAAGTATTTTTCACTTGTCAGTCATTTGTTCCACAATACTATGTGCACTTTGAGAGACTTATTTCATACAATGTTTTACATGTTTATAAGTGGTTTATGATAATTTTGAGGCCTTAATGGTTGTATCTGTAATTACACAGTTACACAAGCACTTTGTAACCAACCAAGTGAAATGAATACTTGTAACTCATTTTATTTATTAGGTAAACAAGTGCTTAGCCAAAGTAAATATTTTTTGATATTTTTCAAGTTACCTAAATTTAAAGTCAAATTACATAAAAATTAGAATAACATTCATTTGGTAAAAAAATATTTTGATAATTATATCTGTATCTTACAAAGCTTGAAAACCATTAGGGAATAAATAAAACTTGGAGGTCTATTAACATAAAACATTATAATTGTACTAACAAGTTATAAAAATGCTTAAATTCACTCCAGCTGCAGTAATGTTTGATTTTTAGAATGATGGTATGATACCAGTTAACATTTTAAAAGCTGTGTAACACTGTAACCAAAGTTTTGGTAATTTTTACGTAACAAAAGAGACTTCCACTACATTAATATAGTATTTTGGATTAATCAATGTTGACCATATACAGTACTGCCTCATCATAATGCCATCGGTTATAACACTTTCTCAGATATAATGCTGTGGTGCCTTGGCTCCCAAAAATTTAGTATCATCTGCCGATTAGCTCACTGCTACATGGCTTCAGAGGCTAAAGTCATTAAACTCTGTCACAAAATAAAATAAAAAAATGCAAAAAGTCCTGAGATGTGAACGTGATGTTAGGAGTTAAAGTAAGAAAGGAATTTGTAAATGTGACTTGATTGTTGAAATAGCAATAAGTTTCATTGATATAGCATTTGTAAACAACAAGTTTAAAGTCACGTGGGCAGTTTTCTAGCTACTTTCATTCATGGTAGCATAGAAAACTATTGGCTATCATTGGACCAGAGGGGATCCATCTATCTGGTCATAAGTGACATCATTAAAGTGAAACTGGTTTATCTAGTTGGTTATAATTCTCCCCCATCTATATCACTCTTGGGTGCACATGGCTCCCCATGGTAGCATTATAATGTGGCAGTACTGTAGTCCAGATAGTAAAGTCAAACAATATTAATTTAATCTCTAAATTATCAGCTCAGCCAGGTTATATGTCAGCAATTTGAAAGCTTATATTATTTCTAGTAATGTGACTGATTTGAATCTAGAAATATTTAAAAACAAACATTTCAATTTTTTAAATTAAAATTAGTTATAATTATTTATAATCATACTTAGAAAACAAATATATATAGCATTGGTAAACAGGAGGTCCATTTTTTTGGGACATCAGTAACAGAGTAAAAATCTTTCCCAGAAGAATTTTAACTTTCAAACAATTGTATGGCAAGTCCTTTAAAAGAGCTGCAGATGTCATAAACAGTACTACTTTTGCTGAAAACAAATATCTTAAAATAAAGACACATTGTTATATCTAGAAAAAACAAAGGCAAGACAATTTGCTGTGGACTACGGCTGTGTTGATTTCATAAAACCTCAAATAACTTTTATGGTATTTAATTGCCCAATTAAATAAAAACACTGACATCTAATGTTTCTTTTTGATAATATATGGTAGTGTAAGGATGTCCGATAATTTTATATTTATTAATTTCTGGAAAAAAAAGAGGGGTGGTTTGGACACTCTAGATCTGTGTACCTAATTATGCAATAATAGTTATCAAGATTTGCACCTGTTAACACTGAAGGATAAAAGTTAATTCTTGAAAAAATTGGATGGGAGTCTTTACCCTCTAGATTTGCATATGCTTATACAACATTAAAGAAATTAACTTATGGAAAAAATGGACTGGGGTCCTGAACATTTTGTCTAGCTCCATGTCTGCTTATAAAATGTGAAATGATACATAACTGTAAATTAGAAGCATAACACTATGTAAGAAAAAACATAAATCTACACTTTGTTTAACACTTATGTAGCCAGAGAGCTGTATTGCTTCTAGTCAGCAGTTCAAAATTAGTGTCAGCAACAGATAGCCTTAGTTACTTTGCAATAAGAAAGACAGGGTGAGTAAGTTTAGTGGTAACAGGAATCAAACCCAAGACATTCAAGTCTTGAGGCACTTCCACCCCCATAATGTAGCTTTATGCTTAATAACAAACATGATGGCAATATTTAAGTTACTTGAATAGTCTGAATAATTCAAATGAGTAAATAATAAAAAACACTAATTTTGATTAGCTGATTATTTTCATGACAATTGATTTCATCGTAATTTTGATTAATTGCTTAGTTTACGAGAAACTAATCAAGATAAATAATCAATTTTATTGATCAGCTTTAATATTCAATAGTAACTCTAATGGTTTAAAACTTATCAATTAAGATCATTATGATAAAAAAAGAAAAATTTACCTGTCAGGATTAGGGTTGTCCTTTTTGTGGGTAAGCATGTAATATCGGGCAATATTTGCTGGATATCGAGAGATCTTGTATCCATGGTGACGAATTCTGCAAGTGAAAGTCTCATTTAATTTTGACTTTTGTTTGAAACATTTAATACAGTATTTCTCAGTTGTTACAAGCTTACGTGACAAATGTTAAAATTATTTTAAACAAATCGCAAAGAAAATTTAATAAAAAAAATGCTTGAGTTTAGTTAAGTCAGTATTTTACATTATAACAATGCAAAAAAATTGAATTTTTTTCATCTTGCTTAAAAAGATAATGCAATGGGAAAAATATTAAAATTCAAGTGTTATGCTCTCACATTTTTAATAACATACAATGCTGCATGACCTAAATATACAAACTAGTACTAAGGTAGTAATCAGGTTTTTTTTGTGCTTTGATAAAATATTACATTCTTCTAAAAAAACGTATCATTTCAACACTTTCCAACTAAAAATGAATACGTAAACCAAAATCATCAAATCACCTATCACATATTTACAAGATTAAGTTAGTGCAAACTGGTGTGCTAATCAATAAAGATGAATTCAAAACTTGTTTGACTGATTTTACTTTTTGTTTTTTATAACACAAGCTTAATTGTCTTAATTCATTACTGTCTACCCATTTATTAATAACACGCAAGAAGACCTGTAAGAATAACTACTGAAAATAATACAACTCGTTAGCAACAGGAAAGTTTATGCATTTTAATACAGCACTGCATTTTAAGGGTATAACAATACATAAATTTTCCTCATCTTGCTTACAAAGATAATGCTGGGGACACTTTGGTTAAGCCCAAATGACAGTGCACACATTGTGACACACTACAGTGAGAAAAACAATGTTCCTTCTTAATATAATAAACTATTAAAACCAAACATGTAACCTGTTTGACATGTCATCATCTTCACCTCCCCAGCCCCAGAACTGGTTAGAGAACCCATTGACACTTTCCATGTGATGCTTGGTTAAAGCACTAACACCTCCAAAAATGTCTTTGTAGGGTAACCTGAAAACAGCATCACAACAAAATCAATTACTGTTCTTACTCTTCAACATTTAAAATATATTTAAATGTTAAATTATGTTCCAACTACAAAATTAATACATAGACAGACAAGGAAACACATGACAATGTATACAGGAATCATGTAACTTCTATGACTCCTACTATTACCACAAGCTGTACAAGTATTTCATAATATCCAAATAATACATTAAAAAAAGTTTGTTTTTTGGTTTAAAAATATCTTTATTATGTACTCAAGTTAATCTATATAGGTCAATTTAAAATTGCTAACCTATCTTATGGTACACAGATTTTTGCTATAACTAACACTGGACATCTAAATTTACAATATATTCAGGTAAAACCTGGGTAACCTTAGAGTAATAGGATAAGTATGCTTAATAACAGAATTGTCAAAAGATATTTATTACAAAGTAATTTTACGTTCTCTGAATATGGGAAAGAAAGATACTGGACACAAAAACACAATGACAGAATCTTTACACAAATTGACAAACACAATCCAAATAATTTGTGTAAAGGATAAAGGACAGCACCTTTATTATATAGTTATCTCTCTTAACCCTTTGCCTATGGGTAAATCAAAGTGCACATCACAACCTTTTACAGTTACATTCAAAATTTAATTATACTACTTCAATATTTATGTATATGAATAAAATGACACCAAAATGTAGTTAATAAGTCAAATTTTAATATTATACAAATTTTAATTTCTTAATTTTAAAAGGAAATATTTAAATAAATCCTCAACCTTCCCTTCTATGAGAATGGTGATATTTGCTCGCTAGGTTTACCCATCTGCTGTTTTTTTAATCATCTCTGATGTCCTAAGTTTAATGTAAGTTATTCAATATATTAATAAGGCAAAGTCTAATTTTTATAGCCTTCAGCTTTCCTTGTTTAGGAAGACAAACTAGAAAATCAGGCCCACTTGCCACATCCTCTTTTTTTTCACAAATTGCCAATAATTCTCTCTGACATTTTCTATCATTTATAACCAATAGAAAGACAGTTTTAATTTACCAAATGATGTATAATGCCAAGTTGTTCTTAGTATAGATTTCTAATTATTGCCCCTACAGATTTAAAGCTTCTCTCACCAAAGTAGCTAAGGGAATTATTTTAGGGCAATTATACTTTAGTTAGAAAGCTAGTTAAATTATAATAATTATATGGCATTGTTTGCTTTGTGCATATTATTATTCTGTGTTACATACATTTGTTAAATAAATAAAAAATGTTTAATGTACTGGTACCATCCTTCCAAAAAAGTAGGCTTAAATTTCACTGGCAGGCCAACAACAGAAAAACAATAAGCCAAACTTATGTACATATTATATTTATGTATATTTTTCATTCTTACAAAGTTACTAAAATGTAAAAATTGCAAACTTATTTCATTAGATAAGGTAATGAAAATAATATGATTAAAAATATTTCTCCACAAAGTATGCTCACCAGTAGCTTGTGCATTATGTCATTTAATACGGTAACTTAAGTTATGTGTTTGCCCAATGATTTACAGCTTGTATCTTGAGATTATTAGCTAAACACAGTTCAAAGGGTAATAAAAAAAACTAAGTAGAAACATATGCAGACTGTTACAAGCCTTAAACTACTTAAGATAAATGGCTGTTGTTTTCTGTTGTAATCTGCAGTCATTCAAGAAAGAAAAAAAGGGTAATGTAGATTTATTTTGTTTTTTGTGGTGATTACAAAGTCAGTCAAATCAACCAAGTCCTACAGAGTTAGGGTAGATAAGATAAGTAAAATATAAACTTTTACTGACAAATAAAAAGTTTGATATTCATTATAAAACTGCACAATGATTAATAATAATTTTTAATCTTAACATAAAAATCATCTTGCACTCAAACTAATCAACACTCTGATTTCATATATACACCTGGAAAAAAGTTAAGCACCCCCGTGTTTTTTTCAAGTGATTCAGATTCGACGTTCTTGTAA